TCAACATGACTTAAATTATCTGGACATCACCATCTGCTATTTTCTTATTTACCAAGTGCTTCATTACAGGGTAAGCCTAGCTATTTGGGAGGCTGAGATCAGAAGATCACAGTTCAAAGCCAGCCTAGGCAGAAAAGTCTGAGAAACTCTTAAATATGCTGAACTGGAGGCATAGTTCAAGTGGTAAAGCACTAGTTATGAGCAAAAAAGTAGAGCAAGAACATAAGACCCTAAGTTCAAACCCCAGTACTGGCACAAATAAAATTTTCTTTCTTTCCTGTTAAAATACAAGTTTTATGAGAGCAGAATCTTGCCTTGTTGTATGGTGTATTTCCCAATGTTTAGAACAGTCTGTCTTGCACAACAGAAGCTACAGAAATGTTTGTTTAGTGACTGGATATCTTGCTTTTATTTGCTTCTATTTCTCAGGACTGAGATCCTATGATGCTACATGACTTGGCAAATGCATGGGTCTCTCTCTCTCTCTTCTAGAAGTTGCAACAAAAGAACTCACAATTGCTATCCTGTGTGACTAAACCAGACCAGTAGCAGATTCTAGCACCTGCTTTAGAAGAGACCTCATCAGTGATGAAGAAATTTCTCCTTCTTGGTCCTGGAAACTCCCCAGAACACAACATCTGCAGGGCTTAGGACTTTTTAGTAAGAGGTTAGGCTACAGCATATTTGATATTTAGGTAATAATGCTCACTTTTGATCAATCCCACAAGATATTTTTTCACCTTCAAAGATATGTTCTTAATGACAAAAACTTTTCCTAACGGTACTGCCTAGGGCTAAGATATTTGTGGAAATTCTAGAGTTAACAGCCATGTGCTTCAATTAATGTGTAGCCCAATACCAAGTGATCATTCTAGATGAGGTGGAATGAGTGTACTATAATTTTATTTTACCTGTAAGGGAGTTGACGATTAGAGAAGTTACAGTAGTTCCACTAGATCTGATGACCCTGAGTCTTATTTGTAAGTACATTAAACAGTGTTTGACAGTGTGCTTGAATTTCTGAAATGACTAAATGTCATTTGACTGTACATAACACAAATAGTGTCTTAAGGTTAGGGAATATAATTTCAGATGTATAAATATGCATAAGATCTAGAAGGGGCCTGAGAGTTTATCCTGGCTGGAGCTAAAATTTGAGAAAATCATGTAGGTCCTAAAGATCCCACTTATTGCCTTTGTTTATTTTAGGCCAATCCATTTTTATGCTAGACAAAGCAACCTCTCCCAGCTTCTGCCACACACATCTGGCACAGAGAGATATTGAGGCTGAGAGATCAGCTTCTCAGATCTCTTCTTGTCTTCCAGGAAGGCTCAAAGGTATAAACCAGCTGTGTTAGCATGTTTCAAGGGAGCAGAGAAACAAAAGGAGAAGGAGGGGGAACTCTCTTTGCTTTAGAAAATGCCATCAATCCATTAGAAAACCTACTAGATAATTACTCTATCACGGAATATAAAGGCCTAGAGAAGCCAGTCATTTCCCCTGGTGACTGTTTTGCTGTGGAGAGTCGACATCTGCACCATTCATAATTGCAGTGTAGAAATTGGCACAGGAAGAAGCCCCAAAGCAAGCTGTTCCAGGTAGACCAGATGTCTTGAAGGGAGGCAGTCTCTCTTCAAGTAAATGTAATGCCTATTTCCTGTCATGTTCACTGTTGAACAACTAACTGTTTGATATCTGGAATAATCCTCATCCCCTTCTGTACTCAGAATAGAACCCAGGGAGTTCTGCATGTTAGGCAAGTACTTTATCGCTGAGCCACACCCCCAGCCTTTAGAATAATTCTTAATAGGGTATTCTTTTTTAATAAAGGCACCCCAACCATTCTGTTCTCAGAGAAACCACTTTTTCAAGGTACATTTTCCTCACGGATTGCTTTATTTCACCTCTGTGTACACATATACACAGATACTACCACCATCACAGCTGGTCTTATGCTGCCAGATGTTGACTCAGATATAGCAAGATGTTGTTGGCTATTCTCTTGGAGAAGAGCAGAAAAAGTAAGGGGAAAAATAACCTAAAGAGAATGCGAGGAACTTCACTGTTACTATTACTAACACAAAGGAAGACAAAGGATGCAGGAGAGAGAAAGTAAGGCAGAGAGACAGAAGGAGACAGAGTGCTTGGGAAAGTGACAAACCTCCGTCATGAGGTCATAGAGGCATCTGGACTCTCTGGGGATGCTTGACTAGCTTTGCTTTGGCAGATGAATTTAATGAGTACGCAATTTATCCAATAGTGTTTGTAAACGTCTTTCTATATCCAGGGAAGTGTTAAAAGCCTTTGGGATCTGTGAGTGCAAAAGAAAACAAAAATAAACAATGCTCTCTAATCCTATGGAGCATTCATTTCTGGGTAAGCTTCAGACAAGCAATGATAACGATACAAAATATACAATATAACTAGTAGATGATAAACACTGTGTCCTCTAGAAACAAAACAAACAAGCAAACAAAGCATTAAGGCAGACTTGGAGTCTAGGATATGAAGCTCTTGCAAATTTACATAGGACTTTCAAAGATACATTTTGGAGGTGGAATTTGTATGAAGACTTCATAGCGTGAAGAGTTGACCATGCCCATACTTGAAGTCTTGGAACAACCAAGGCTGGAAGATACTTTCAGAGTTTGGGGGAAAACAAGGAAGCCCTTATTAGTAGAACTAAGTGACTGGTAGGGATAGGGGAAAGAGGCAGAGAGAGATTAGTAGGGTTGGTGAGTGGATTGTCCAGGCATCTAGGGCTTTGTTGGCCTCTGTAGGAGTGCAACTTTTTAGCACAAAGAAAAATCGAGAGCTTTTGCAGAGTTTGGATCAGACAAGTAGCCTTATCTGACTCATGTTTGCTTTATTTCTTTTTAACTCTATGCCTTTGTCTGGTACATTGAGCATAGCCAGATCGTGGCAGAAAAGAAAGGGTTTCTCTTCTTTCCAACATGTTGCCTTCCTTGCTATGACACTCAAACGCAAAAAGGCTTAAAATGATAAAGCCCAGAGCAGATGCAAACTATGACTATTTTTACACAAACAATAGAGACTTCAAAAGCCAAGGTCCCCTTTGCCTCCTCTGGTCCATTAGAAGTATCCAAATTTACAATTTTATTTTTTATAACTAGTCTGCTTCCAAGAAGCTGAAGGAAAATTGTTTCTATGTATTCAAAAACTATGTAATTTTATAACGAGTTTTGAACCATTCCGATTGTACAGAATGCTACCTATTTTTACGTTTAAATTGGGAGAAGATGCTTTAAAAATAACGCGCCAGTACTAGTCTTGAAGACTGAAGTCTTTAAATATAACAACAGAGCTAGAGAGAAGCAGAAGTCTGGGAAGTTTAAACCTATTTCCTTTCCCTTAATCCCCTTGGAGAGCTAGACGCCTTGGCTGGCCAGTGGCTGCAATGGTTCGGCGGGTGGTATCTGCTCTTTGCTGTGGTCCTGCCACCAGGTGAATGCTGCCTGCAGGGTAGGAGAACGCACACTTTTGTGTGGCTACCTGACCTTCACCAGACTCTGGGGAGAAATTATAAAGGATTTAGGAGAAGACGCCTTGAGTCTTGCAGAGAAGGAAGAAGGAAAAGGGCCCAAAGAAGCCGGAGCCTCCCAGGAGACAGAACAGAGTTAATGAGCTGGAGGGAGGGGGGATTATCCAAGGTAATTATGTAAAAAGAGAAGGCTAGGAGTTCTAAATGGCTGCAACTTGGAGTTTACTCTGCCTTAGGTGAGTGTGTAGTGTTTTGTTTGTGCTTTGGTTTCTCTCAAGGTTGTGTGTGTGTGTGTGTGTGTGTGTGTGTGTGTTTTCTTCACCCTGTTCCTCCCTTTCCAGTCTTCACCCACCGCTCAATTTGCAAAAGCTGCTGTTTGCTCTGCTTGCCAGATCTCCATTCTCATCCCTCTCTTCCTTTGGATTCCAAACCCTAGGACCACCCCCCCCCCCACTACGGAGCTCCTGGGACCCTGACCTGACTCTTCCTCCAGCCCGGAGCGGCTGTGTTTATCCCCTGCTCCCCTCTTCAGCCTCGAGTGCCTGTTTCTCCCCCCCCCCCCCCCCCGCCCCGCGCCCCTGCCGTGGTGCGGCTCTCTTCGGAACACACCTTCCCAGCCACCCCACCGCACCACTTGCCCCAGCGGGTTCTGGCGGCCGGCGGGCGGTGGGGGGGGGGCGCAGTGGTAAGTCTATGTCTCTCTGTTCTTCAAATCCAGTCTGCACCGTCCCCAGGCATCTCCTTTTCCAATTTGAGTCTCCAGTCCGCCTGGCTCCTTCCAGATCGCTAGTTTTGTTTACGGCACAAAAATCGAGGCTTTGGGGGAGTCTGCAGCTGCCCCACACTCCTTGATCGTAAGGAGGTAGTGTGTGTATGTGTGTGGGGGAGTATAGGGTTCACGGTTCTTTCTGCATGCCATAGACCCTTAGCCCAGATCGGAACGATCTGGAGCCCCACGCAGTGGGTGACAGGAGAGTGTCCCTTCCTCCCCCTCCCTCCCCCCCATGGGTGGGGGTGGGGAGAGGAGAAGGAGGCAGCGAGGCAGCTGCAGTGCTGTGAGGGGTGCGTGAGCGCGTGCCAAGCCGGTCCGCCACCTCCCGGCTCAGTCCGCGCTCCTCCGTGCTTGGGGTCCAGGGGCTTCGGGACTGGGAAGGGTGAGCAGCGCCCCTTGGCCGGCCTTGGCTCCCAGCAACGTCTGGCAGTCTCCCGGGGCTTTAGAAACCAGGGCGGGGCACGGGACCTAGGCTGTGCTCCGGGGTCTCCTAGTCTCCCAGTCTCTCTCCCAACCCTGCTTGGCTTCCTTTCCATTGAGTTGTTGTTGTTTTTGTTACCCAATGCGGGCCGCCCATCCACGGTCCTGCTCCGGGATGCACACGCAGCGCCCGGCCGGAGGGGGGTAGCAGCAGCCGCCGCCTGCAGGTGCAGGTCCGCCCCGGCCCCCGCCACCAGCGCCGCCGCCGTCACCGCCACCGCCACCGCATGAGCCCTGGGCGCACTGAGGTCCCGGTCATGGGGCTGGCCAGGCTGCTGGTGCTGGCGTGAGAAGGGGCAACGGAGCGGCCGGGCACCGGCCCCCGGCTTCCCGCATGGATGTCTTCAGCTTTGTGAAGATTGCAAAGCTTTCCAGGTAGGGGCTGCGCGCGACTCCCAGGGCTGTCGCCTGCTTGGGGCAACTTAGTGCTGGATTCTTTCTTTCTTTCTTTCTTTCTTTCTTTAGGAGACTGGGGAGAAGCAAAAGCTCGGGGAGGGGGAAGGGAGGGGGGGTCATGGTAAGTCTGAAGCCAGGTAGCCACAGGCTACTAGATCAACTTGTTTCTTCTTGGCTGCTAGGAATGGTGCATCCACGGGTGGAAAACCACGCACACACAGAAAGACACATGCCCTCTCACACACGCACACACCAATATTCAAGGCAGTTTTTCTTTTTTTTCCCCTTAGGAGAACCCAGTAGTTCTAGGGGCCACCCAGACAATTAAGGGCCAAGCAGAGCTGGTTGTAATTGCTGCTACTTGGGAAAGCCAGAAGTACTTGGTGCTTCAGTACTTGCTTTGCAAGCAGTAGGGACTTAAAGTACAGACCCCCTCCCTTCCTCCCACCCTCTAAATTAGACCTCCTTGCTCTGCAAAAAGTCAGTTTGTGTTCCCAGTAGTGACCCAGAGAACAAAGTAAAGGAGATAAGACTTTCAGACTTTCTTTGAGTAACTATATACTTCTTAAGCCTTGAAGATTGAGGAATTTGCTTTCAAGTAGCCATGTTATTGAAAAGAATGACAAAAAACTGTAGATTTCTGGAGCAGTACTGACTGAAGAGAACCATTGCCACTTTGAGACCACCTAGCTAGATAGTCCCTGGTCAGAGCTACTGTCTTGTTCTACCTCCCAAATCATCCTTGAGCCCACAAAGTAAACTCCTGTGCTTGGGGCCTTGACTGGGGAAAGCCCTAGGGAGAAGATCTTAGATTATAGTGCCCACCTACTCTTCCCAGCCAGTCAGTCTCCCTGGAGTCTGAGAGAGGGGTATCCAGGAGACAGACCATTGGAGTTTTCCAGGTAGCAACTGAAAGATTGCTTTGAAATATGGAGAGAATCATTCCAGGGTTTTTTTTTTTTGGTTTGTTTGTTTCATTCAAGGAGATGTGTTGATGGCATCAGGCAAGGATATACAGCCTCCAAAAGCCAGAGGCAGAAAAGTTATGTGGACTGGGCTTTGCTACATGTATTTGAGGTACTTCAAAACCATTTTGTTTGGATAGTGCAGTTCAACTGGGCCTCCCTCTCACATCCAAAACTCTTGGGGTTTCCTGTTCATCTCTACCTGCCCTCTACTTCCCAAGGGCCAATCTTCAGGTCCTAAGCAGATTTCCCTAGGGAAAAGGACTCCATGTCACATCTTCTGGACAGCGTTGAGTTATTCTGGTGATGGGTATATATGTGCCTCCTAGTGGTGCCCACGAGAGGTCCCTGCAGATCAGAAGACTGATGTGTTAAGGCAGTGGATGATTGTAGTGTGGGAAATGGTTTGGTTTCCTGCTGATATCATAGAGGGCCATGGCTTCACACCACTATTCTATTAACTTCCTGCATGCTTCTGCCGATGGCTGGCTTATAACAGCTGTCAGATAATGAACCATGGTTGGGAAACAGCTGTGGGCCAGTTCAGCCATGGTATGGTATCCTTTATGCAATGGACAGAAATGTCACTGAAGTTCAGCCAACAGTGTGCTTGAAAGTAACCAATACAGTTTTTGGTGGCTTTAAACCACTAAGACAAAATATCTAGAGCCTCAGTGTTGCCCTTAAACTTTGGAATTCTGGAGGTCCGAGCCATGATGAAGTCAGTGAAAACGTGTTTGATACTTAACTATACACTAGGATAGATTCATAGTATTCATGAAACTGGGTTTTGTGAATAAAATGGATATCAGTGAAATGTGTGTGTGTGTGTGTGTGTGTGTGTGTGTGTGTGTGTGTGTTTGTATGTGTGTGTGTGTCTGTTGTAATGGAGGGGTGGAACCTTATTTTAACCAAAGTTTGAAATTCAGTATATTATTTTTCTTTCCCTACTCTGATCTGAAGTGTTTATTTTTTGTTGTACTGGAGCTTCAAACACAGGGGCTTGCACATGCTATGCAAGTGCTCAATCCCTGATCTTCATTTCCAGCTTAGAGTGCTTCTTCTAGAGAAAGAAGATGTCCAGGTCCTAAGCCATATGTGCTGGCTACGAAATATTCCATCCACAGGATTTCATCCTTAACTCTTGTTTCTTTTTTGTCGGTCATGGGGCTTGAACTCTGGGCCTGGTCACTGTCCCTGAGGTCTTCAGCTCAAGGCTAGCGCTCTACCACTTGAGCCACAGCACCACTTCCAAGATTTCATCCTTTACTCAGTGTGAACTCAAGGATGTGCTCCCTAGCCAAAACAGAGATACTTGAAATAAGGGTCATCAGCCTGCAGAAACACACATTTGCAGCTGCTCTTTTCTGTCCTTGAAGAAGTGTTTTGTGTGTGTGTGTGTGTGTGTGTGTGTGTGTGTGTGTCTGTGTGTCTGTGTGAAACAGTTACAGAAATCAAGTTCCTTCCTTAAAGGCGAACTCTGAAAGTGCTTATGTTGCAGGATTCTCCTGATTTCAGAATGGATAATCTTCCTAAAGGATTTAACTTTGATCGTGGTGGTTACTTGAGTGCTTAAAATTCTCTTGGTTTACAGGCAAACATGCACAGTTATCCTAGGTCTTGGGTTCCAAGGAAACCGAGTTACTCAGTGTTCCTTCAATAAGCATTTACTGTAACTGCTACTTACTGTGTCTTATTTATGAGTTAAGATAGTGGTAATTCGAGTATTCAGAGAGAATATTAGTCCACATTGGAATTAGTAAAGTACAGATTTTGGCTACATTTAACCATTTGTTCACAGAATCTATGAAACAAATTGAAATTCAAATAGCCTCTCAAGAACCCAGTGCCATCTTGTGATAAACACTTAAAAATGACTACCAAATATTGGGATAGCTGGCAAGAAGTTCTGACCCTTTATGCCATCTGTGTGAGCTATGACCCTTGATCGCATCTATCGTGGGTGGTATAGTGTGTCACAGTTCTATCTGAAGATGTTTGTTCTTATTCTTTTAATTTTCTGGTTATTAAACTGCTTGGTAGTTTACATGCATTTTTACTTCACTGTTTCCTTGGTAGCAGTTATATATCATTTTTCCATTCTTGTAGATGAGAACATTACAGATGAGTGCTTTATAAACCAGTAATAGTAACAAAATAGGCATATATTTTTTTTATTGTTACTGCTTTTTGTATTGGCGATTCCATTTGTAAAGCAGATGTACTCTTTAGAAGAAATGCAGTTTGGTAGAAAAACATATGATTATGCCCCTTTTTCCTGGAGGATGTGAATTGAAACCCCAAACTCATAAGGGTATTATTAAACTGAGCAATGTGTTCACGAATGGAGTACCCGGCTTCATTTCTTTTTGTTAAGAAAATGGCACAATTTGAGATGATTAGATACTATCAATAGAAAGGTGATTTTTTTTCTATTAGTAGGTAAATTTGGAGATGATCTATTTTGCATTTTCTTACACTTGCAAGGGTTATTTTATGGTGTAGAGAAGTGACTAATACCTGTCAAAACAAAGTGTGCTGGTTTTGTTATATCTTGAATTTGAATAGAATAAAAACTACATATTTATGGCTTCATTAGATTTTAATGAATATTTAGATTATTAAGTGCCTACTTTTTTTTTACCATTACATTGTTTAGAATTAAATATTTCCCAAGGAAAAGGGGAAGTTAAAGAAGAAATACAAAAGGTTATTCTCATCTCCTCTATTTTTACCTGAGTAATTGCATCAATATTCCTGCTAATAGTGAGCTCTAGAGGCTAGCAAGGAAAAACCTCCAAAGACTCTGGATTGGAATTTTATTAAAAATGCTACTTGCTCATCTTCTGAGTCCTTTCTGAGTTGTGCTGATTTTGTGGCTGTCAGGAGGTGAAATGATGAAGAGTTTCATAACAGAACTAGATTCCTGTTTTAGGAATATTTAACTTGAGTTTCCCTGGGGTTGCTAGCATGCAGCTGCAAAAGTCCAGTGGTTTCCAGCAGTTTAAGGGGAAAAAGCATCTAGCTCAGGCTTTATACCATTTCACACCTTCCCCTCTCTGTCTCCCTCTGTCTCTGTCTCTGTCTCTGTCTCCTTCTCTAGGGTAATGAATTTCACCTTCTTGCTTTCAGGATTTGGTACAGACTGTTAGCTTTGGGAAAACTTACTTGTACTTCAGATGCATGACCTGCAAATTTGCGCTTTCTGCTTATAGAATGAACAGTTGTTCATTCTCTGCTTTTACATACACACACACACACACACACACACACACACACACACACACACACACACTTCAACTTTATTTTTCTACTTTGGTTTTACCATGAACATTTGCTCTGAGAGATATGCATTATTGATGAATTCGAAATGTGTATCTTTTCTTTTCATCTTCCCCATTCCCCTTTCCTCTCCTCCTCTCCTCCCCTTTTCTTTTTTCTCTTTTCCTCTTTTCTTTCTTTTTAGTTTCCTTTTTCTTTTCTTTGTTGTGCTTTTGTGTGGATAGATCCTAAGGCCTTGGTGCCTTGTGCATGCTAGACAAATAGTCTACTCTTGAGCTAGCTTCTACAAATGGATTTTAAGGAAGTATCTTCAAACCACAGGTTTCACATTTGACACAATAAGAAAAATTGAGACTGTATCTTTGAGTTTGTTGAAACCTACCATTCTAAAATTTACCACCCATATCTCATCAGATGATCTTTAACCTTGAAAGGTAATTAGATCAAGGAGAGAACACTAGGAAAAGGTGAAACCAGAGAGTTGGCAAACCATGGCCCATATGCGGGCTGGCTGTTATGGTATAGCCTGAGAGCTAAGAATAGATTCTTTCATTTTAAATGGTTCAACAAACAAAAGAAAAAATGGCATGAAATTAAAATTCCAGCATCCATAAATAAAGTTTTATTGGAACCTGGCCATGCTCATTCATTTATGCATTGTCTGTGGCTATGTTTGTTCTGCAACAGCAGAGTTGGACAGATGCCATAGAAATGTTATGCCTTGTAAAGCCT